AGAGAGACAGAAAGACAGAAAGAAAGAAAGAAAGACAAAAAGAAAGAAAGAAAGAAAGAAAGAAAGAAAGAACGAAAGAACGAAAGAAAGGAAGGAAGGAAGGAAGAAAGAAAAGAAGAAAAGAGAGAGAGAGAGAGACGGGAGAGAAGGGCAGGAGAGAAGGGAGAGAAGGAGAAGGGAGAGAAGGGCAGGAGAGAAGGGCAGGAGAGAAGGGCAGGAGAGAAGGGCAGGAGAGAAGGGCAGGAGAGAAGGGCAGGAGAGAAGGGAGAGAAGGGAGAGAAGGGCAGGAGAGAAGGGAGAGAAGGGCAGGAGAGAAGGGCAGGAGAGAAGGGAGAGAAGGGCAGGAGAGAAGGGAGAGAAGGGAGAGAAGGGAGAGAAGGGAGAGAAGGGAGAGAAGGGAGAGAAGGGAGAGAAGGGAGAGAAGGGAGAGAAGGGCAGGAGAGAAGGGCAGGAGAGAAGGGCAGGAGAGAAGGGCAGGAGAGAAGGGCAGGAGAGAAGGGCAGGAGAGAAGGGCAGGAGAGACGGGCAGGAGAGAAGGGAGAGAAGCAAAGAGAAAGAGAGAGAGAGAGAGAGGGGGGAGAGAGGGGGAGAGAGAGTAGCGCACCGCCAAGGACATACTACTTTGCTCAAGAAACACCTAAACATTCAGATGACATTGACAATATCCAGACCGATATTAAAAGGATTGGCTGACAATAGCTTTTCTTACCGGTGAAAACATTGCAGGTGGTGCAGCCACTTGCAAAGCAAGTCTGTGGGAAACGATGGAGGAAATCTGGAAAAACCGCTTGTTGCTTGGCTTGGCCATAGCCCCTTATCCTCCGTGGCTAAGATGCATTTGTATTTTATGCAGAGCTTGTGGTTTTGTTTGGTGGCAGCTGTTTTAGACCAGGGTGCACTGTGCTTGAGGTTATGAGAATTTGTTTGGTAGAGACTGGGATGTTGAAAGTGAATGTTTTTTTTTTTTAATTTTGTTTGCGATAAATTTGCATGTCCGATTTGCATTTTTTTGTGAGCAATTTGATGTTTGGAGTGGATTTGCACTTTTCATTTGCATTTTTTTGCATTGGATTTGCAGCATGTTCTGCTGAATCGTGGAATCGCATTTTTTTTGCATTTTTATATAAAACATTTTTTTCGTTTTTTTGCAAATTTGCCATTTCCTGGCAGAACCTCTGGCAAAGCTGGAAAAATACAAAAAAACACTAGGACATTTGCACAAAAAATGCGAACAATTTGCGACAAAATGCAAACACAATGCAAAACAAGCGAAAAAAACAGTAAAACTCGAAAAAACAATGGTTCTGCTGTTTTTCGGACATTTCCCTAATTTTTTCTACATTTTTCTAGGTTTTTGATACCTTCCCAGGGGGCGCTTTGAATTTGCAAAAACAATGCGAACAATTTGCAAAAAAATTGTGAAAAAAATGCAAACAAATGTACAAATGAATCCTTCGTTTCCAAGGCGCGCGTCCAATATGCAAATTCAAAATGCAAAATGAACCCGCCATACAAAAAAATGCAAACCAAAGTTGCAAAAAAAACAACAACCAAAACTCAAAAACCAAAAACAAACCGTCCCCAATCCCTACCAGGGACGCACTCTCATAAGCTTGAGGTTGATCCGGAGGATACAAAGCTTCTGCTTCGCTCCTGGATAATCCTTTCACTGATAATGCAGGCTTCAGTAGTTTGCAGGTTTCAAGTCAGCAATATTTGTGGAATTCGACACCTTTTGGGGTGGCAATCGCGAGAACTAATGTCATTGACACACCCAGAAGTGCTTCTCAGCACTGCGGATTGGGTGATTCATTGAATATTCCCCTCCAGAGTCCAGAGGAGGGATGGCGCAGTTTTGTAACGGTGTAGCCGTTGTTTTCTGGGCTAGACTGAGCCCAACATTTGCGGGAATCTGCTGTCTTGAAGTATGACAGAGGCCGCGCAAGGCCTTTGCTGGCAGACTGTCACTGACAGAACGAAGCCGCAGGCCTGAGAAAAGAGAAATTTGTACAGAACCTTCAGCACCTCACTTTGTGAGTGAACTGATTGCACTGTGTTCACAAAGTTTTCCTGCTGTCTACAGCCAAATAGCGCGAGACAGTTGGACGTGCGTGTTCCGACAGCGGCTTGGAGTCCGTCATACGGCACCGCTGATGTCAACTAACTAACTAACAAACCATCGTGCATGAAAAATGATAAAAAGTGGTACACAGTTGCACAGGGAATCACAGGGATTTGTGTGATTTACGTCCAAGTTCCTAGTTTTTCAGTCACTTCAAGGCACAGCTCAAGCCATGAGCAGTTCACATATTGAGTAACTGTTTCTTTTCAGTGGATTTGCTCCGATTTGCCATCAGGACCGGCAAACTTGCTCCAATTTTTGGAGTCTTTATCGCAAAAGAGGCACGGGATCGGTTTGAGAGTTATTTTATGTTGTTTTGACTTGTGAGGTTATCTTGCCGCACTATGACAGGACAAAGATGCGAGTGAAATTTCTCTTGGTGGTTGGTGTCCCAGAGGGCAGTACAGCCCTGTATTTCCGTATCGTTTGTTGCTTGATTGGCACATATTGGCACTGCAAAACACGATGACCATCGATGATCAGCCTGGGATTCGGTGATTTGATATGATTTGATGTCACGCTGCGAGGCAGTCTTGAGCCATTTAGGCTCAAGTCCCGGTACCGTACTAACATTCCTTGATCATCTACGCTACTACCACCCCAAGGCAGCTTGTTCGTGCTTGTCTAGTGTTTGATTCCGGTTGTTGATGCCAGTTGTGAGATTCTATGAGTGTGCATTCTGTCCGTAGTAGGCTATGGCGAAGCAATTTGTCAGACTGACGCTCTATATTTGGCACCTTGGCAGCCAGGCACGGTCGTGCAGTTTGTTTGTCTACCAAGCTATTCTCTACGTTCAGTTGATTTCATCCAAATATCAAGGAACATCTGCAGTCTCCACCAGAAAAGGAGCTGCACATGTTTTTGTGGATGCCTTTGCTCATTCACATACAATTTCCAACTGCTTGCGCCGCTTCAAAAGCTAAGGCTTTCAAGCCGTACAGCAGACAGCTGTGATAGTGAAGTGTTTCTTGCCGGGCACACGACGATTTTTTTTTGTGCAACAGATTTAATTTCCTTTCCAAACATACCTAAGCCGCGTTGTACGTAGCAAGATTTTTCCAGTCTCTTTGTAAAACATGTTGAAACCTGACAAACTAAGGACCTCCTTCCTAGCCGTTCCTCCCGACCGGAAGGAAACCTCGCCTGGGGCGCCCGATTTGGCATCAGAGCTGGCCGCGCTGAAGGCAGCGAAGGGAGCAGCTCCAGCGGCTCCAGGATTAGCTGGAGATTTGGCAGCGTTGTTGGCCAAGAAAAGAGAAAAAGAGAGCCAGGCTCGGGAAGTTGCCGCGGCTCCTTTGCATACCGTGAAGCTAGTGAAACAATATGTGCCAATTGAAAAAAATGGCAGCGTGATAGCGTACAAAACAGCTTACTTTGGCAAGATCCAAGTTGGCTCTCCAGAGCCTCAAGATTTCACAGTGGTTTTTGACACTGGATCAGCTCACTTGGTGGTGCCCAACAGCGCGTGCCAGCGCGAAACCTGTTTGAAACACAATAGCTTCTTGGATCGAGTGGAAATTGTGCTTTCTTTTGGACTAGCTTCTATTTTATTAAACAAAAACTATTTTTGCCTGCCCAAATACCTTGGGGCTTCCAAGGATACAATGAGAGCAAATCCGAGACTTCGATTCCGATTGAGCACGATGGTACCATCCTTCCCAGAGGCTCTGTGTCCCAACACTCGGTGAGCATCACTTTTGGAACCGGAAAGGTGACCGGAACATTTGTGAGAGACAAGGCCTGCCTGAAAGGTGACGATGACCTGGGCTGTGCCACAGTGAACATGGTTGTGGCGAATGATATGAGCGATCAGCCATTCAGCCTGTTCCACTTCGATGGCATCCTCGGTCTGGGCTTGGAAGCTTTATCTCTGGGTCCTGGCTTCAGCTTCTTTGGAGAAATGGCTCTGCCGGTGCAGCGCTTTTCCGTCTTTTTAGCACGGACTGACCAGGGCCAAAGCAGCATCTCCTTCGGTGGGCATGATGAGAGCAAGGCTGCATCTGGCTTCAGCTGGGTACCTGTGGCGAAGCCAGAACTGGGCTATTGGCAAGTCCAAGTCCACCAGGTGCGAATTGGTGACACTGTCTTAGATGAGTGCGTTGATGGAGGCCCGCTGCATTTGCATGCATTTGCTGTATGCTTGCCTGAGTCCAGCATTTCTAAATGATGAATGTAGAATTTATGTAAATCTGTGAGCCATATAGAATGTCATTTGCAAAAAGATTCTTCAGTCAAGTCGTTTCAGTAGAATGTCAGCTTCTTTCTCGTGTTCTCCAGGCTGCCGAGCGATTTTGGACACTGGCACCTCCTTACTTGGCGCTCCCCGCCAGGCCAGATATGACCGGGTGGAATCGGGTGGAAAGTGAATGAAAGTGAGTCCGTGATGTACAGAGTTACAGAGTGAAAGGATGCAGAAAAACCTTGGAGAAACGTCAAGACAGAGAGATTTGCTGAACCCGAGGCCATCAAGACCTTGCATTCGTTGCTATCGCGAAACGTCTTGGTCGCACCGAATGGCATTGGTCACGGTGAAGGCACTCTGCTCTGCGGCCCTTTCCGTTGATTTCAGTTCTCAGTTGTACTGTGTTCCATGGTGGTCCTATCCTTGCGTGCACTAGTTGTCTTAAGCTCCCGCTTGAGGATTCGTGACCCAAGAAGCTGCAAATCAAGCCTTGTCTGAGGATTGCCGGAACCAGGAGAGTTGATCAATATTTCACTGATTTCTTTGACTTGTTCTCCACACATTTGTTTTGCTTGTACTGTCCTTCGATCTTTTGCATCTTTTGCTTGTCTGAGGAGGGTGACAAACTCACCTTTGATTTGGGACCTGATGTTCCCGGCATTGTTTTGGATGCCGAGGACAGGGAGTCGTGAACCAATTCAATTTCAGCGCGGGACATGACTTGACACAAATATTTCCGAATGTTTCAGTGCAGCACAGTAAATCTAAAGCTTCTCTTTGGCTGAGAGCACCAACTCTTGAGGACTACTTTCGGCCAAAACCTTTCAATATGACAGTGACAGACTGAGTTTGTTTTGGTGAGGACAGGCATGGAATACCAACACCCATCTCTGCCGTCTTTAAAAAACGAAAGTGACTAAGGTGCCGGAAATTGATGGAGCCTGGAAGCTAACGTGCCGTTCGCTGCTGCTGCCTCTGGATTTGCAGGCAAGACGTTGCTTCTCAAGTGTAAGCCAGCTGGCTTGAAATTCCAAAGACTTCGATAGTCTGAGAACGTCGTTTAATGATTTTAATGTAAATGTTCAATGTCTGTTTGATATCTTCTGACATTGTATCTTTGAACGTCCCACTTGCATCATAGAAACCACATGAAATTAATATAAATCAGGGGTATCTGAAAGGCTGGTTTACATCTCCATTGTTCAGGCGCCTCTGGGCCCCAAGACCTTCATTTTAGGTGAACCGGTCTTGAGGTGACATGGCAGCAGTCTGAAAGTCTACACCGTTTTTCTTTTGAACGAAACTTCACTCGAGAATCCTGCGATGGATCAATGTCAGAAACTGCGTGCCAAGGAAGTACTACACGATCTACGTTGGGAATCCAAGATCTGTCTTCTTGTTCTTCATCATTCTTCATCGATTTTGGTGTCCCTTATCGTTTCTGATCGCTTATCGCTTGCACTCCGAGGACTGGGCTTCGAAGCGGGTTGGCTTTGCCCAAGCCGACCACAGCCAAGATGGCGAGGCACAGGGTGCGATCGGTTCTCCGGAGGCCAGGCGCACCGCTGTTGGGGACGGGGCAACGGATTGTGGAAGGCCTTTCCTGTCGCCAGGAGGGCTCCCTGGTTGCAGGAGCACCTTTGAGCAAGAAAGGCCATGGGATCCATGGGGTTTCAGGGAGATGTCCTTGTGTAAGTGTCTGTTGTATTCTTGTGATTCTTTGTCTAAACATGGAAGAAGAATACTGTAGCATACTGTAGCAATGTACGATGAATGCATAACACTATGTAGAAGAATGAAGTGGCTGACGCAGGTGCAAGCGGACCAGGCAAATCGGCTTTCTTCAACTCAGAAATCTGAGAACGAAGTGGCCAGCGCTTCAAGCGCTTCTATCGAACGGAAAAAGTTGGAAACGGGCTTTGTGAAAGGGGCTACAGTTCTCACATGTTCTCATTGCTTGGAACACGCACTGATATATGTTGTTGGATTTCTCTTTGCGACGGGAAACTTCCGACGGCAACAAGATTGATTCAATTGGATTGATTCAATTGATGCTTGTTCGAATTTCAGGCACCATGTCATTGGTCGCGGCAAGTCAGAAACTGCCCAAGGTGTAAACTCAGAACGCTTCGCTTCGCAGCTGCATTGGGCTCCCGTGCTGATCTTAGTCTTTGGAGAGGATGTTCAATGGATGGCGCCTACTGTCTCTGTTGCGTTAGGATGCTTATAATATGCTGACAGTTGAGATATGTTGATATGTTTTTGCCTTTGACAAGACACTTCAACAATTGGCGAAACAAGGTAAGAGATGATTTGCAGGATTGTGGCAGTTGAGGTTGCGAAGCCTCAACATGGACATTGGCAGCTCGCTGTACGAAATATTCGTGTGGGTGTGTGGAGCTCGGGTTGGAATTTGCAGCGTCCATTTTGATACTGCCACGGCTGCCACGAATCGATGTTTCGACATCTGCCAAGAACGAGACATTGGAGCTTTGCGAATCTGGAGATTGCACCGCCATAGCAGACACTGGCACTTCTTTGATTGGCGTGCCAAAGGCAGGACCTCTTGCCATCCCCAGTCACCAAGAGCAAAAAAACGTGATTCTGGGATATTCTGGGATTTTAGGTCAGAATTTCCTTCTTTGCACCTTGCAACCTATAAATCCATGGCCAGGCGTTTGTGCAGAAGATGCACTGGCTTCTTGCACGTCGCGTGCGCCGCTCGTGTTGAGAAGTGTCTGCCTACATTTCTTTCACTTGAGTCCAATTCAGACAAGCAAAACAATGCAAAGCATCCTCATTTGCTCTTAAATAGCCAGAAACCATGGATCAAATGAGATAGACTTCATCTCCATATAGTCAGATGATGTCAGCTTCACGGACGTCTTTTCCTGGTCGTCAGGTTGACGACGATAAAGTCCCATCCGCCGACTCCACTGACTACTTTGATTGTAGGAATCAGCCAGGGCTGGGCTCTCAGAGGCTCTCAGGACAAAACTTTGGTGAAGGATGTGAAAGTCATCTGAGTCATCTCATGTCATGACTCAGAGAAACATACAGAGGTCATACAGAGGTCATACAGAGGTCATACAGAGGTCATACAGGTTTGAAGGAGCTGCAAGAATGCTGCTGGCATCACTGGAGGCCTGACATCGTCTTCGATTTGGGCGATGGGCTGGAACTTTCGATTGGCGCTGAGGAGCCGCAGCGTGAGCCGTTGTTGCCTTGGCAAGGGAGGCCGGCCACGCCACGCCCAGAGTGAGAATGCCATTCTTGTAGTACTACTTGCATCACTCATGCAATCTTGTCAACAGAGAACTTGGAAGCTGGAAAGGAGCTCATGTGAGCTCATGTGTACATTGTGCAACTGTCCGTGACTGTCCACATGTTGACACCTCCAGGAATACTCGCGCCCAGCGGCTTTGAGAGTTATCACCAACGCTACTGGGGAGGCGGGGACAACATGACAAAGGAACGACAGTAACTAGAAGAAATACTTCAATCTCCTGTGTTGTGGTTTGGGAGGACTACTCATTGTCACTCCGTACTGAATGAAGAACAAGGGCAATTTGTACAGAGTTTGTACCTAGACAACAACAGTTACGTTTAAACTTTAAACCTTGCGAATTTATGACAGATGGAACTTACTTCTATGAAAAAAATCAGATGTTTTTACCAAGCCAGTCTATAAATAGACAAATAGACAATTCATGAGAATTCATGAGAATTCTATACTCATTTTTATACTCATGTTGAATCTCAGATCCGTTGAACGACGACCGCAGGAGGAGCTGATTTGCCGGGCATCTCTGCTGCCGGTCGAGGAGATTCCCACCTTGGGACCCAAGACCTGGATCCTGGGCGAGCCGGTGCTGCGGAAGTACTACTCCGCCTACGATTGGAAGAATCAGCCATGATCTCGGCCTGATGTTTATGATATTCTATGATTATTATGATTATTTTAGAGCTGACGCTCATCGTCGGCTCCGCCGGATTACTTGACCCTTGATGTCATCGCAGGGTGGGCTTGACTATTGAATGAGGACCTGCTGCTTCAGAAATATATTCCTTATGCTTTTTGGAACATATTCACGGATGTGCAAAAACTTCTGTGTTAAAAAGCTTCTACGTGTAAAAGCTTCTCTGTGTAAAGACTTCTCTGTGTAAAAACTTCTGTGTGTGAAAGCTTCCGTGGTAAAAGCTCTCTGTGTAAAAACTTCTTTGCGTAAAAGTTTCTGTCTGTAAAAGCGCCTGTGGGTTAAAGCTCTCTGTGTAAAGACTTCTTTGTGTAACAGCGTCTGTGTGTAACAGCTTCTGTGGTAAACGCCCTTGTGTGTAAAAGCTCCTGTGTAAAGGCTTCTATGTGTAAACGCTTCTGTGTACAAACGCGTCTATGTGTAAAAGCTCTCTATGTAATCACTTCTCTGTGTAAAAGCTTCTGTGTGTAAAAGCTCCTCTGTGTAAACGCGTTTGTGTGCAAAATCTCTTTAGTGTTATGATAGTTTGTGAGCCACACACTGGGAAGACCAAAATCATTGAAATTTGCATTTTATCCTCATTTAATTCTCATTATCTATCCTCATTTAATTTGCATCCTGTTTCACGAACCTCATTTAATCCTCATTATCTAACCTCATTTATTTTGCATCCTGTTTCATGAACCTATGTATGTATGTATGTATGTAGGATAAATTAGGATAAAATGAGGATATAATGAGGATAAAATGAAGATTTGATGAGGAAATGATGATAAAATGATGATTTGATGAGGATAAAATGAGGAAATGAGGATTTGATGAGGATAAAATGAGGATTTGATGAGGAAATGAAGATAAAATGAGGATAAAATGAGGATTTGATGAGGAAATGAGGATAAAATGAGGATAAAATGAGGATTTGATGAGGAAATAAGGATAAAATGAGGATTGAGAATGAGGAAATGAGGATAAAATGAGGATTTGATGAGGAAATGAAGATAAAACGAGGATAAAATGAGGATAAAATGAGGATAAATTGAGGATTTGATGAGGATTTGATGAGGATTTGATGAGGAAATGAAGATAAAATGAGGATAAAATGAGGATTTGATGACGAAATGAGGATGAAATGAGGATTGAGAATGAGGATAAAATGAGGATAAAAATCCAAGGCAAAATCCGATGCAAATTTAATGAGGTTTCAGAATGATGATAAGATGAGGATAAAAATCCAAGGCAAAATCTGATGCAAATTTAATGAGGTTCCAGGATGATGATAAAATGAGGATAAATGAGGATTTCTTTTTTTTGCATTTTCCAATACCTGGCTCGCAGAAAATCTCATAACTTTAGTGTAAAGACTTTTCTGTGTAAAAGCTTCCGTGCGTAAAAGCTCCTCTGTGTAAAGATTTCTCTCTGTGTAAAAGCTTCTGCGTGTAAAAGCCAGTCTGTATAAAGGCTTCTCTGTGTAACAGCTTCTGTGCGTAAAAGCTTCTGTGTGTAAACGCGTCTCTGTAAAAGCTCCTCACCAGCAGCATTCATCATCATATTTTCTTGTGTGCTATCTTCTCGTCTCCTCCCTCCAGCTTTCTTTCCGGCCACACTGTCGTCTAGTTTCAGTCTGTAACGTCGTTTCTTGTTGAAGAATGCCAAGAACATGTGAAAGCATCGGTCACGGGAAAAAAAAACTGCCCAAAACACCTCTATTTACAGTGTTTCGTGCCTCCTACGTTTTCTTGGCATTCCAAAAGCTGTGTAAATACCAGCATTTTTTGCGATCAACCTGCCAAAAATGCTGCAATTTGCAGTGTTTTTTTGCTTTGCCTTCAAAAGCACTGGTATTTGCAGTGTTTTGTGCATCTCTAGTCTAAAAAGTATTGGTATTTACAGGATGTTCTAAGATATGTTTTTGGATTGTTCCCGCAAAAGACGTTAAAACGCAAAAATGCTGTAATTTAAAGCATTGTTAGTTTCGACAAGCTAAAAATCGTCCGAAAAATGTGTCAAAACGGCGCTTTTTTCCGATTTTAGATACCTCAAATTCCATGTTTTTTTATGGCCCGGGGTCGGAGGATCGGCGGCTTGGGGCGCGCCTCGCCATAGAACTCTAATCGCTCTGGGACGCTCGTGGGGCAAGCCACTCGTGGGGAGCCGGCGGAGCCGAATTTTAGAGCTGACGCTCATGGTCGACTCCGCCGGATTACTTGACCCTTGATGTCATCGCAGGGTGGGCTTGACTATTGAATGAGGACCTGCTGCTTCAGAAATATATTCCTTATGCTTTTTTTGATCATGTTCATGAAATCATGGAACTGCGGTTTTTTCTTGGAGCAACTGGGGAAGGCTTGTTCCCGAAAGCTCCTGCGGAGGGTGTTTTTCCTCAAGAATTGCTGCCAATTTCACCTTTCCACTTCGTGTAAAAGCACCTCTGTGTAAAGACTTCTCTGTGTAAAAGCTTCTGTGTGTAAAAGCTTCTGCGTGTAAGAGCGTCTCTGTGTAAAGACGTCTCTGTGTGAAAGCTTTTGTGTCTCAAAGCTTCTGCGTGTGAAAGCTTCTCTGTGTAAAGATTTCTCTGTGTAAAAACTTCTGTGTGCAAACGCGCCTGTGTGTAAAAGTTTCTCTAGGTAAAGGCTTCTCTGTGTAAAAACTTCTGTGCGTGAAAGCTTCATTGTGTAAAAGCTCTCTGTGTGAAGACTTCTCTGTGGGAACCTTTCTGTGTGTAAACACGCCTGTGTGTTAAAGCTCTCTGTGTAAAGACTTCTTTGTGTAACAGCTTCTGTGTGTAAACGCGCTTGTGTGTAAAAACTCCTCTGTGTAAAGACTTCTCTGTGTAAACGCTTCTGTGTGCAAACGCGTCTGTGTGTAAAAGCTCTCTGTGTAATCACTTCTCCGTGTAAAAGCTTCTGTGCGTAAAAACTCCTCTGTGTAAAGACTTCTCTCAGTGTAAAAGCTTCTGCGTGTAAACACCAGTCTGTATAAAGACTTCTCTGTGGAAAAGCCTCTGAGTTGAAAAGCCTCTGTGTCCAAGAGCCGCTCTGTGTAAAAAAATATCTGTGTAAAAGCCCCTGTGTGTGTAAAAGCTTCTGTGTGCAAACTCGTCTGTGCAAAGGCTCCTCACCAGCAGCACTCATCATCATATTTTCTTGTGTGCTATCTTCTCGTCTCCTCCCTCCAGCTTTCTTTCGGGCCACACTGTCGTCTAAAGGCTCCTCACCAGCAGCACTCATCATCATATTTTCTTGTGTGCTATCTTCTCGTCTCCTCCCTCCAGCTTTCTTTCGGGCCACACTGTCGTCTAGTTTCAATCTGTAACGTCGTTTCTGTTGAAGAATGCCAAGAACATGTGAAAGCATCGCTCGTTTAAAAATTGAACATAAACAGGGCACAAAGTGCGCCAATTTACAGCATTTTGCGCTGTCAGATGGCAAGAACCCGCGTAAATACCACAGTTTTTGTCCTTGAAAGCGGATAAAACACTGTTATGCACAGGGTTTCGCTCACATCACGATCTTCGATTTTTTGAAAAACGTGTAAATACCAGCGTTTTGCGTTCATCAAGGCAAACAATCGGTTCAACAAGCGCAAAAATGCTGTAATTTACAGCTATTCCTGTCGCAAACCCCCGTGCCCCCCCTGCCGGCTGTGCTCTTGTTACTGGCCCCTGTTCTTGTGCATTTTAGTTTATGCGCTTGTAGTTGTGGTTATGGTTATGGTGATTGTTGTCGTTGTCCTGGTTGTTGTGGTTGTTGCTGTGGTTGTTATTATTGTTGTGGTGTTGTAGTTGTCATGATTGTGGTGTTGGTGGTGGTGTTGGAACTCTTATTCCCTGGCACGCTCCCCGTTGCGTCCGGCGGATATGATTCAATAATAGACATACATAGTAAGTACAATTAAGTACATAATATATGGTCCATATATGACAGTTATACCTAATATATGTATATACACCATACATCATATACTATATTAAGAAAGAAATATCATCAGATAGATAGCTATTCATTATCAAAAAAATATCATGAACGTCATAGCTAGAAACAGATACTGTGGCCGTTGGCCAAGACTTTCTGCTGCGGGTTGAGTTGGTCAAACGAGGCGAATCGGCTTTGCCGAAGCCGTCCAACCAGCCCCGCAGCCAGAAGGAGCTGCTCCAAACCACCGCGTGAGGACCTCGTTTGCGGAGGCATCTATGGTAATCCAATGTAATCTAGGATTCAATTAGAAAAAATTGACAAATGGAATTAAATGGATATGAAATGATATGAAATGATATAGTTGGTGCTGGGATGTTTTTGAGTTCCAAGGTCATTGGCGCTCCTCCACAGGCACGGCTGGCAACTAGCTGCGAGCAATGTATCGATCAGCTGATAATCGTTGTGCTTGGGGTGTCAAAAAGAGCTTCATTTCATTTCGTTTGCACGAACAAGGAAGTCCCTGCTCCGACAGTGCAGAACTGAGTAGGAGATGTTGCCTAGTTTCTGTGCGCATGAGAGTCAAACAAGTAAATCGACTTTGGGCCCGGAGTGGATTGCGGTTTTTGTGCTGAGCGTTCCTTCTTCCTGCAGGATTTTCACAGTCACATCCCTTTTGAATGCGAGGTTGTCTACATTTGAGCCTCTTAAGAGATTTGTCTCACAATGTAGTGGAACTTCCGGTCCAGATAGTCTGTGACGAAGGGTGGATTTGAAAGCAAACGCTTCTCATTCCTCCCTCGCCATTGCGCCAAAAAGAACTTGCAGCCGGTTTGCTTTTTCATCCAGATTGCAACTCCATTTCCGCTCTCCGGCATCCGCATCCGCCGCATCCTGCCTTTAATTGAATCAGCAGGTGAAGTGGTGCAGGAGGCGATGGAACAGTTTCTCTGAGCAGATTTTTTTGTGATACATCTATAATCTATGGTGTGTATGTCTCACATATGTACATGATTATAAATGGGCTAATGCCTTGGTGCCGCCGACCCCCCCATTAAAAAGGGGCTAGGCAGGGGTCAGCGGAGATACGCACATATACCTAGAGCGCCCTCAGGCTAGAATTTGAGCCTGAACGTGTTCGGACCGGTTTTTCTGCCTGACCTTTGAAATGTCGCCTGCCTCTAAATTCTCGCCTGGAAATGCTGTCTGCAATTATGCTCAAGATGGCATTTCCAGCCTGAATGGACAATCTCGCCTGACTTGATGTTCAGGCTAAAAGACAGCCCGAGTCCCAAAATGGCTACTATTTGGTTTCAGCCTCAAATTTCCGCTTGTTGGAGGCTGCAGGTATATATAATATCATACTGGTAGGAGTTTCTTCTAGGATTGCAGGGGGGTCAACCCCCTTGAGGAGGGTTGATTTTCTGTCCTTCGAAAAGCTCGAATTTGCTGAAACGATGCTTTCGAAAGTTCTCCAATTTTCTAAAGAACAACTTTTGGAGAACTCTGAGTCGTAACATGCTGATTTTCTGGAGAGTCTAGGCGCCCAAAATCGTGAAGCATAATTTTAGCATTTTTGGGAGTACGTTCATAGATTTTCTAGTGGTCCTTGATTTTCTAGAGAGGCAATCTTCCACAATCCCTTGTCGAGCATTTGAACGGGCTGAAGCCCCCGAGCTGGAGCGGACGATTTTGGCACATTCTAGCCCTATCTTGGATTTTGCCATAGCCTCACAACGTCAATCCAACCATCCCCCGTGGATTTTCCCCTATTAAATCAGGCCACGAAACAGGCATTTGGTTCGACATATTAGGTGGTTTTTTCTACACGTGTTAGGCGCTCTCCACCCAGAGGACCTTTGGAAAGTGAAACTCCTGGGGGTTCCACATGTGGGAGCCGTTAGATCATTAAACCCCTGGTATGTTTATTCTCATCGGGTTCTCTGTAGATGATTTTAAGCGCAGCTGAAATTAGAAAGAGCAACTTGTTTCTTTTATTTGTGTTTTTTAAATGGATTGTTTGGACCTCCAGAGAATCAAAGTGATTGGTGTGAGATATAAACCTATTGGATGCCTAGAATATTGAAGCACATGGGGCAGGTAAATACACGTGGTTTTATATCCCCCAGTACATTAGGTTTCTTAGAAAAATCACCGTTCTTGAAGCGTACATGAAACAGTTTTCCAGTTTGATTTACTAGATGTCATTTTGATTTTGATCCAACCACTTCAATGTTCTATATAGAGGCATCTTGGGGTGGCGGTTTGCGACCATCCGTTTTCGATCTAGAAAATCAATGTCGGGGGGGATCAGCTGAATTATATACAGGCGGATACCTAACCATCCTGGAACCCCCACTTTTTCTTTTTAGTTCTCGTGGTTGCCTAAGTCGCCAACTTGTTTGGGCAAACGACTATCTTGACAAGAATTACATATTCCCGTGGTTTGAGCCTGTTGGCAGCCATTTTGCATTTTTTTTGCCTGCCATGCTGGTACAGCAAGATATCAGTTTTCAATTCGAACCGTGCATATAGCTTGAAGAACCCCAACCACTCGACATGTTTTCGTGTAAGTAGCTATGATTTCCAGCAACATGAACAACATGTTTCTTTTTCCAAACCTATGAAATTTCGCATCCTTTTGTGTATATTTTTTGAAGAGTCAATCAACAGCCACCGCCGCACAAGGCCGAAACCGGTTACTTGGAGGCTGTGCCACATGGTGGCTTGGTGGCAGGCTGCAGCTGCACGGAGGCATTTGAGGCCTGCCCGGCGGCAGTTTCGAAACCCGATAAAAAATGACATTGGCGGCTATACAAGGCCGAGGCCGGTTACCTGGAGGCTTTGCCGTTCGGGGCTTGGTGGCAGGCTGCAGCTGCACGGAGGCATTTGAGGCCTGCCGGCGGCAAGTTCGAAACCCGATAAATTACACCGGCATAGACCCCAGATAGAAAAGATTTCAGAAACGTTTTTTCATGCCGCGTCAATGGGTCAGTGATATAGCGGATGTCCCGACAAGCAAATTTCACAGCATCTGCCTACTCAATTGACATGAGCAAATATTCTTTGAAAACGCGTTTTGTTTTGTCTTGTTGAATGATCAAAATGATGATGCGTTTGGACTCAAAGATTTGCGTGTCGGATTGACATCACAGAGGTTGCGTCAAAAAAAAGTGTTTTTCCTTGCCGCCCACGCTTTCCAACCTTGGAACCTTGAAATCGCATTTGAAGGCAATCCTGGTTCCCAACGATTCAAGCAAGTCTGGCAACTTTCATGCATCGGCATTGCTTGGTTTTGCGTAATGGGCCGGTAACAGAACGCTTTGTTTGGCTTAATGTTAGAATGATATGAAAACATGTTCTTTACAGCCTTTTGTTTTGCTTAATGGGCCGGCATCAAATTGCTTATCTGTAACACGCGGCAGTCCTTGGTAAACGCACACGCCTCCATATGACTAGGTTCCTATTTTCATCACGCTTTGATGTTTTCATATGACTAGGTTCTCCACGCTTGCCACTGAACAAAACCATTAACGGACTACGATTGCAGAAATTGCCGCTTCCACGAAATTGAAACTCATGGTTCCCAACGTGGCAACCATAGATTTCCATTTCCAGCAATTACCAAATCCTGAAATTTGGAACTCATGGTTGCCAACCTCGTAACCAAAGGTTACCATTGCAAGGAATTGCGGGCTCCCACACCTTGAAACTCATGCTTCCCAACCTGGGAACCAGAGGTTACCATTGCAACGAATTGCCGGTTCCCAGAGGTTAGAACTTATGTTTTCGAAGCTAAGCGGCCATCATTGTAAGGAACTGCGGGTTGCGAAAGCTTGAAACTCATGGTTCCAAACCTGAAAAAGCATACGTTACCAGTGGAAGGAACTGTTGATTCCCAAAAGGTAGAACTCATGGTTCTTAATGTTGTTTTGTTTTGTTTACTGAGCCGGTAACAGAACCTTTTGTTTTGCTTAATGGACCGGTAGCGGAATGTTTGCGTTTGGCTGATGGGCCGGCAAAAAAATGTTTTTGCACGAAAAAGGTGCATGTTAAAATGATATGAAGACATTTTCTTTACAACTTTATGGTTTTGCTTAATGGACCGGTACAGAACGCTTTGTTTTGCTTAATCGGCCGGTACCGGAATGTTTGCGTTTGGTTCATGGCAAGGAACTGCCGGTTTCCAAAGGTTGGAACTCACGGTTGCCAACGTGGGAACCACAGGTTACCATTGCAAGGAACTGCCGGTTCCCACAGGTTGGAACTCCTGGTTCCCAACCTGGGAACCATGGGTTACCATTGCAAGCAACTGCCGGTTACCAGAGGTTGGAACTCATGCTTCCCAACCTGGGAACCATAGGTTACCATGAACTGCCGGTTCCCAGACCTTGAAACTTACGGTTCCCAACCTGGGAACCAGAGGTTACCATTGCAACGAATTGCCGGTTCCCAGAGGTTAGAACTTATGTTTTCGAAGCTAAGCGGCTATCATTGTAAGGAACTGCGGATTCCCAAAGCTTGAAACTCATGGTTCCAAACCTGAAAGTGGAAGGATCTGTTGATTCCAAAAAGTTAGAACTCATGGTGCTTAATGTTGTTTTGTTTTGTTTACTGAGCCGGTAACAGAACTTTTTGCTTTGCTTAATGGACCGGTAGCTGAATGTTTGCGTTTGGCTGATGGGCCGGCATAAAATGTTTTTGCACGAAAAAAGTGCATGTCAAAATGATATGAAAACATTTTCTTTACAACTTTATGGTTTTGCTTAATGGACCGGTACAGAACGCTTTGTTTTGCTTAATGGACCGGTACCGGAATGTTTGCGTTTGGTTCATGGCAAGGAAGTGCCGGTTTCAAAAGGTTGGAACTCACGGTTGCCAACGTGGGAACCACAGCGTACCATTGCAAGGAACTGCCGGTTCCCACAGGTTAGAAGTCATGGTTCCCAACCTGGGAACCAGAGGCTACCTTTGCAAGCAACTGCCGGTTACCAGAGGTTGGAACTCATGCTTCCCAACCTGGGAACCACAGGCAACCATTGCAAAGAACTTCTGGTTCCTAAAGGTTGGAACTCATGGTTCCCAACGTGGGAACCAAAGGTTACCATGGCAAGGAACTGCCGGTTCCCAGACGTTGAAACTTGCGGTTCCCAACTTGGGAACCAGAGGTTACCATTGCAACGAATTGCCGGTTCCCAGAAGTTAGAATTTATGTTTTCGAAGCTAAGCGGCTATCATTGTAAGGAACTGCGGGTTCCGAAAGCTTGAAACTCATGGTTCCAAACCTGAAAAAGCATACGTTACCAGTGGAAGGATCTGTTGATTCCAAAAAGTTAAAACTCATGGTTCTTGATGTTGTTTTGTTTTATTTACTGAGCCGATAACAGAACCTTTTGTTTGCTTAATGGACCGGTAGCGGAATGTTTGCGTTTGGCTGCTGGGCCGGCAAAAAAATGTTTTTGCACGAAAAGGTGCATGTCAAAATGATATGAAAACAGTTTCTTTACAACTTTATGGTTTCGCTTAATCGACCGGTAAAGAACGCTTTGTTTTGATTAATGGACCGGTACCGGAATGTTTGCGTTTGGTTCATGGCAAGGAACTGCCGGTTCCCAAAGGTTGGAACTCACGGTTGCCAACGTGGGTTACCATTGCAAGGAACTGCCGGTTCCCAGAGGTTGGAACTCCTGGTTCCCAACCTGGGAACCATGGGTTACCATTGCAAGCAACTGCCGGTTACTAGAGGTTGGAACTCATGCTTCCCAACCTGGGAACCATAGGTTACCATTGCAAAGAACTTCTAGTTCCTAAAGGTTGGAACTGATGGTTCCCAACGTGGGAACCAAAGGTTACCATGGCAAGGAACTGCCGGTTCCCAGACGTTGAAACTTACGGTTCCCAACCTAAGAGCAGAGGCTACCATTGCAAGGAAT